TCGTCTTTAATCCAATCTTTACTATATACACACAAATATATATATGTATACAAGTATATTATATTATATACTGTACTATATTTTTATGTATATATACTTGTATATATACTTGTATATATACTTGTATATATACTTGTATATATGCGAAAGCCCACGAACGCAAACTTTCCATGCCAGACCAGTCTGCTGACAGATACTACCATTGATACGGACGACACAGACAATCCAACGCGGTCCTTGTGGCCCACTAACGCGCCTGCCAGAAGGCCCTATGTGCAATTTTGTCGCGCGGAGGAAAGTACTCGCATGCCAAAGATAAACTCAAAAACTCAAAACACAGTCATTATCGAAACAGATGGACTGCTGAAGAAGAAATGTTATGTATAGTACAAGAAGCATAGAATTTACTTACTTTTTATCATCCAGCACTCGGACTCTTTCCAAAACCGATACTCTCCTTTACTTGTAAAAGCAGACATCTTGAAGCAATACCATGTAGATGGCTTCAGTCCAGTGATATCATAGCTGGTCACGCTAACTGACTTTGTTGTCTGCACTTGCCATTTCTGCCATTTCTCTCCAACGCCTGCTTTGAAGTAGATTTTGTAGCCCCGGATAATTCCGTTTCGTTTGTTTTCAGGTATCGGTGACCACGTGATCCTTGCGCTGTCATAACTTAAGGGGATGCAGTGTGTGATGACTGGCGCCGCATCAGGTACTAAAAAGCCAAAACAAATTCAAATCAAAAGCAAAACCTAGTATAAATTTTGATTTACTGGAAGGTGTTTCGTTGCGAAAATTATGCAAAGTTATGTAATCGTGATTCCCGTGCGCACCATTCATCTTTGTTCTATTAACTTAATTACGTAATCGATTTTCCGAGTGGGGTTTTAAAAGGACCTCTGTTAAGAATAAGTTTAATCTTTCGCCAGATTCTAAAAAGTAGACAGCTGTTTGTCTGCTTAATTCATTGCTATTCGGCACGAGCTATTTTTAATCCCAACCACCACAGTCACTTTTAAAATTGCCCAGCCGCCTATAAACTGTTTGCATCTATCACAAAGTATACGGCTAGTTCAGCATTACGTCTCATCTTAATAGCGCAGCGCGCTGATTCTAATAATAGCTTAAAGATTCGGACAAACATTGCGCTCTGTTTAACCGCTACGAGGATTGTACGAACCGATTTTATTATTTTTACTTAGTTACAATAATAACCCATGTAAACTAAGATCAACTGCGATCGGCTGTGAAAGTTATCTGCTGAAAGTAAACTTGTAAGTTTGTTTGTCCGAATTTCGCCTTTGTCTTCGCTTTTATGACGTCACGGCTGCGCTGCGCTATTGCAAGAAGGTGTGTCGAGTGAATACTTACGAATCTTAAAACATTCTTTTGGACTTATTGTCCCTAAAGTTTCTGTTTGTGATCCATCTTCACAATGCATGCACTCAGTTTGTCCTTGTTTATACTGATACGTTTGGAGTGGACAAGACATACAACGACCATTACTACTTCTGTATGATCCAGGTGGGCAATTAACTGCAATATTCAAAAGAATAAAACTTTAAGTTAAGATAAATTGTGTCTCTTGTTATATATTTAGAGAAGATTTTTCTAAATACCAATGGTACAACGGCCACTTAGGGACAGGTCATTGTTTAACGCCTGGGGGGAGGGGTGTTATAAGATATTTGTTGCAACATCATGAAGATCAAATGATCCCTTCTCGAAAAACATATGATTTTCCTAGTTTAATTAGCAAAGACATGGACAATTGGACTAGGAACTGGCTGACTTACCACACATAAATCCATTAGAATGAGGTTCTTGTTTTCTAGGACAACCAGGGGGAGCACCTCGCACAAGTAGACTTTCTGGGTCAATAATTTCTTCTTCTAAAGAAGTAGKCTCATTCTTCATTCTATGGTATAGCAGTTGTAACTCTTCTACGAGCTGTTTTCGCTTTCTGGCAAATGAATCCAAAAGCGTTTCAAAGACTGGTTCGATTGAGTGATCGCGATCGATTTTTTCGATGATGGGTTTGTAGCTGATGTATAGAAAACTTACAGTAGAATTTCCATAGCCATCTGAAACATAACTTGTGTTTTCAATCTGAGATAATGAACAATTCAGTAAAGAAGCCAATGTTTGATGAATATTTTCCCTGCGGTATTTCGAACAGTCCAACGAAATATTTTGCTTATTGCATGCTTTAGTAATATTCATTTTAACTTCAATTCTTGGTTGTCCTGGAGAACTGTCTAGGACCCAAACCCTAGCTCTTTTACTCTCTGCCCGTCCATAAGTGTTGCGGGCAATACAATAATAATATCCAGAGAAATTTGTGGTGGGGTTTTTGTAATACAAGAAAGTTCCATTATCATTATAGATCTTGATTTCTGAGCTGTTTGGATACTGAGAAATGAAGAACCATTCGATATCAGGCTCAGGGTCGCCTGTTGCATTGCATACTAACAAAAACCCCTTCCCATCTTTTGTATACACGTTAGTGTCATTGGGATGCTCTGTTATCTTTGGCTTGCTTTTTACAGAAATAATGGTCACATTGGATGTAGCGAAACCTTTTCTGTTGATCGCCTTGCACTTGTAGGAGCCTGCGTGACTTGTATTAACCTTTCGTATAGTCAACAAACCATTCTCTGATTGGATAAGTGATTCATTGTTGTGTTTCCACTGGTAAGTCACTTTTGTATCGCTAGTAGCATTACAGAACAGAGTCACAGTCTCGTTCTCTACCACCACTTTAGACCTACTTGATACAAGGGTAATTTCTGGTTTTCTTCCACAAAGGACATTAGTGTCTTCTGTATGGTGTAAGTGGGATTTGAGATCTAGTACTTTAGTTTTAAAATCGTTCGACGTGAAGTCTCTAGAGATCAGATCAACGATACTGTCCTTGACATAAGATATATTTCCTCTGATTTCATTAGCCCTAAAAAAATCACTTTCATAGAGATAAAGATCATTCAAATCTTCAGCAATGCTGACTAGGCAATCTTGGAAGCCCGCGCATTCTGAAAAGGATCTCTCTTTGGTAAGCCCTTCCAGAAAGGTTTTCCAAATAACTAAAACATCTTCCCAAGACTTCGTAAAATTCTGTTTCTCGTTTATAAGTAATGTAAAGTACTCCAAGTATGACTTCAGTACAGTTTTCGAATTATCATTTCCTTTTCCTTTAGCTTTTACAGTCGTAATTTTTTCAAAGGTCTTGTACAGTGAAACGAGTTTATTGACGTTGTCTTTGTTGGATTGTTCAGCTTGTTTTCTAACATGAATAAGTTGGTCAAGAGACTTGAAAACATCTGTATAAAAAAGATTTGCATTCCTTGATTTCAGACAACGACGATGATTATTCCATACATTTTGCATGTCGACTTGGTTTTCAGCAGTTGTAATAAATTTGTTCAAAAACTTATCGGGAATGGATCTTTTCTTCCTGGTCGCATCTCTTTTCTTCTCGTACAATTCTCTTATGAATTGTTTAATTACTCTGTAAATTGAAATATCTTCCTTGTCGAAATCAAATACAACTGACAACTTCCTTTGTTTTCCATCTATTGGTTTCACTGTCATGGTCATTGGCATTTGATTTTTTAGATTCGCTTGGTCATCGGTAATTGTCTCATCAAATGTTAAATCTGCCACGCTCAGTAGTATTTTTTTATCACGGTGTTTTTCAAGAATTCTTGACACTCTCAAACCAAGAATGACATCTGGGATGCTTTTTATTTCTGTAACTGCAGAATCTAGTTCATTTTTAGCATTCTCCAATTGCTTTTTTTGCGCTCTGGTTATGTCAAGTTCTTTCTTCGATTTATCAAGTTTAGCTTGTGYTTTTTTCAGGTTAATGTATGCGATGTCTCGTAAAATTGCAAGTCGACTTAGATTTTTAAACTGTTCGTTTTTGAATTTCTCATACTGTGATAGCGGCTTTTCGGAATTTTGATTATTGTAAATTTTACAAGATTCCAGWTTTTTTGCAAAGCATGTTGAATTCATGACCTTTACACACTTTGTTTTCTCACAGGAGAATTCATAGCTATCTACGACCTTAATTTTCGAGACTGGATTTGAGCAATCAAATACTTTTACAGGTATCTTCTCTGTTACTCTAGAAAGCCAAACTCTTGTATATGGGACCTTTTCATCTTCTCCTCGTACCGCTGCATAAGTTCTGTCACATCCAGTAATTGCGTCTGCTATTGTTGTAAAAAATCCTCCAGACCCACAATTTCCAGTGTACTGGGTCACAAAAGTTGGCTTGACGTAAAAAGTATTTGCACTTTCTTGTAATATTTTTTCCCTTTCGATCGTTTTTTCTTTTGCTAAGCAATTGGGTTCATCGTAAGTAATATTACGTTTTTTCCTCTCATAGCTGCAAACATTAATCATGGAGCATATTTTCCCACATTCCATTAGTGGGCATCTTTGTCTAGCACGCTCCTCGTCATCTTCAGAAAGACCTGAATAAATTTCATCTTTTAACATCTTATAACTCATCCTGTTTGCATTCAAAAGCGCGAATTGACTTCCATTTTTCTGCTTCAGGTCTTCGTATGTTATAAACTTCTGTCGCAACAATTCGGTGAAGTTTCGAAGGTTGTCGTTGTTCTTTTTTGCTTCGCTCTCCGCATTCTTAATTCGTAGGGTTGCTTTTTTTGCAACCTCTCTAGCATGATTATTAATTTTCTTCTGAAGACTTTGCAGCAGTCTAGAGTTCAAGTCCATTCTTCCCTGTAAGCGGTATTGGATTAAAGACCAGTCATGATATTCTGTTTTAGCACTTACGTTAATCGAGGCCTGATGTTTGCCAAACATGAGRCCTGATGTTTGGAACGATAAAATATCATGTTTTACCACTGCAGTAACCACTTTTTGTATCCCTAATAGATTGACTTTCGGGTTGAAAGACAGTCTACTTGCTTTTGTGTCATTGTAAATTTCTAAGAAGACACGATCATCTTTTTCCAACGCCGCAACAGAACCTAATGTAAGAGGTTGGGTCAATTTTCCTTCAACAACAAAACTAAGGTTATATTTTTCTTGGTGATGGTCGACATTGATATCCAGAATCTTTGGAGAAGTGCTTTCAAGGATTATCTTGACGTCATCAAAACAAGTCTTTTTTGAGCACATTTTGCCTTTAAAAAGAAGACTAAATTTTCTGAAATTCACTATCATCGCAGAACGCTTCCAGCGAACACTGGGGATCTTCGGAATATCATCTTTCAAATTCTTTGCTTGGTTCACTATCAAAGGAACATCCCCGAAAGACCTGCTTTTAACTTCTGATTCAATAACTCGGCAAATTGACTTAACGTTACGTATACGATTTCTTAGCTTTGTTATTAAAGACGAAAACTTGTTTAGACTAAGGCTAGTACTTAAATCACCGCTCATAGCGCTACGAATATCCCTTGAAAGAGTTTCTGCATGGTTGATGTCGGCTGCCCATTTGTCCAAGGTTTCTGTTTTCAGCAAAAGAATCAGTTTGGGGTTTTTGAGGAGACTTTTCATTTGCGGAATAAGTAATCTTAGTAGGGTTGTTATGATGTTATATTCTTTTAAATTCGTGATCTCTCTCTGTCTTCCTCCTTGTATTTTGTTCTCCAATGTGACAAAAACAGGTTGATTTCTCTTCGGATGTACCACATGGTTGAAAGGTGTTCCTTGTAGTAGATTAGAAACCCTCTTCCAAACAATGAACCAACCATGATTGTATGAGTTCCTTGGTTTGTTTGCACCTGAGAAATAACATAGTTTTTTTTATCAAATTAAGAGAGAATCTTTTCGCATTCMAGCGGTGAGTGCCAAAAACTATTTTCTTGAAGAAAGGCTGTTGTACAAGGCTAAAATCTTGTTATTCAGAAAGTTTAACATGTTTGGAAGTGGAGGTGACSGATGAAAGTGGAAGGCAAAGTGTTAACCCAAAGCAAAACTTTTATTCGAAAATGAGGTTHAGGCCTTCATTTGCTTATTTCCTATRTATTTTCYAATATATATATTTAGGCACTGCCTAAAAGCGGAGCYCCCGATACGGAAGTCACAGGGAGAACAATTTGAATGAAACTGAAAGGTAAAAATAAGATCGGGGAAAAAAATCTTCAATTATTTTTTTATTCGAGATGAAGATAATTTCTCCCATAATAAAAACCATGCAGTGAAATCGAATCGAAATGCACTACTTTGTTTTCTTTGCGCAAGTATACTCTCCCACTTAGGAATTTTGTACACAACTCACCACCACCCCCAGGGGCTAGTTTTGTTCTTGGAAGATTCTTCGACAAAGTTTTCCAAGGCCGACAGTTTTAGGCTTTGAATCTCTTTTAATTAAAAAAACGAAAGATAACTCCAGATAATCCAACACAATATCAAGTTTAGTGAAATTTACCTCCGATGTCTTTCATTGAAATCGAAAATCTGGAGATTTAGGGCAAATCAAGACCAAAAAACAGACTTGAAAACTGGTTAAGGTGAGCAGAAAATAAGCTGACTTTAATTACGTCTTTTACAGAACGAGACGAAGTTTACAGTTAAACTTGACAAGAACAACTGAGACAAAATAGAAATTAATGCATAAGGCAAGGCAAAATACAAAATGACAAATTTCTTGTCAGTAAATTGGCGTTTTTAAATGTTTTTGAATATTTTTTAGCTTTTTAAAGCCAAAGTCTAGGTCTATACAATAACATCTCTCAACAACACAAATTTATGCTCATTTTTATAATCATACTTGCTCGAACCGCTTAATAAACAGCTGAATATTTGGTGTAAATTTATATTTCATTCAATAATTAAATAAATTATCTATATAAAATTATTGAATGAAAGTCTTCTTTGTTTTGCCGATGGGACCCCGCGATAGGAGGCGAACAAAGCTGAATTTTTCTTGAACGAAAAACATACGATAGTTGGTTAAAAACAACCGAATTGTTAAAGATGTACAAAACCAAATAAAGGACGAATATTTATTGTCGTAATATGCTCTCCGTGTTATTTTTCCTCCAGCATTTAAATAAATTAAGCTTATCTAAGAAAATATAAAAAGTTGTGAGAGAAAGTCTTTGATTTGTCCGATTCGTCGAGAAAAATGCTTGTCAAAAAAAATTATAATATACGATTGTTTGCTAAAAACACACACCTGAATTCTTGATCCATCTTTGACTACATGAAAGTTTTTTTTAAATTGTTTTTGATCTATAACTTGTCCTAAAGCGATTTTTTCCTGTGCATTTGAGAGCCGCATTTAGTGAGTAGTTTTACTTTGACATCAAGCGGGATTCCTGTGTTGTGTACACGGACGGACGGACGGAAGTGACGTCAGCCAAGCCATGAAAAATCAACTCGATGGTTTACCATTTTTTCTTAAGTATGGTGCTCCGCTCGCGCGGGCCTTTGGCCCGCGCGGGAGCTCCGCTATAAAAAAGCCTGACAAACCTACATTCTAATACAAATGCAACAAAACATCTTTGTACAATTGAAAACACCGCTTCAAACAAGCATTTTATCATAGTACATCAGTTTCTAATTGTTAAAAAAAGGTTTTGAGAGTTAACCCAAAACGAAAATTGGGATCAAGACTAATACGAAAGTCTAGTTTTCGGCGCTTTTTGCCATTATTGCTCATTATTGAAAAAAAAATCCTCTTAAACAATAAAAAGTTACTTAGACAATAAACTATATATTGTGACAGGACAGCCCTTGCATGCATGCCCAAGTTTCCGAAACTAGTATAATGCTTTTATTTGACGCGGCCTCTGATGCAAATGTAAGAGGAAGGAAATTTCAAGAGTAATAAAAAGCGAAACATTTACCTCCTAATAAAGATTTCCCAACGACTTCTCTTTGTGGAAGGTGTATGGTAACTTGCTTGTCGAAGACGGTTGTAGTCAAGTTCATGGCTGCTTTTCCTTTCAGTACACTGGTAGTTTCCCGTTCAAATCCATAATGAAAACTCTGTGGAGATAATTTTGCAAGTTACCGGTTACCAAGTGCATTCCAGGTTAGTATAAAATCAAGTTCGTTTTAATTACCTTTTCAAGGTTTTCTGTGTTTATGAATATGTCTCCCTGATAAGCTAAAGAAATGGTTGTGTTTTCTTTGTTTCCCAGTTTGATGTTTATTCTTCCTTTAAGCAACACTTTATACTCATGTAATTTAAGATTCTCTAACTGCCTTCCATTCCATAAACTCTGCCCAATGGTAACTGTAGCTTTTCCATTCCTAGGAAAGATGGCACCGGTAAGGCCAATATCCCAGCCAGCGTTCCTCATGTCTTGGAAAAGTGCTGATGACTTGATTGCTTTTGTACTCTCACTTGGAAGGGCGAAGCCAACGTCTGAGGTACACACATCGATTGCATAACAAAAGCCTCTCTCGTCTGGTAAAGTGATGTCTTCGTCAAATGTAAAAATTGAGCCAATATTTGGTTCATATGTTATTACATTTGAAGAATCGAACAACGAAGAGCAGGCGTTGGATTCGGAATTAATCAAGGCGTGAATATTTTTGATGTCAAAAACAGAAGTCTCGTCCTTGCTAGAAATCTTCATCCATGATGGTGTAAATTTAGAAAATACTTTAAAGAAAGTGGTAGCAAACACATCATTTTCAACTAGTTCCAATATTCCAGGTAAGCCTATTTTTGTGCTTTTACAGATGTTTGCGGCAGATGTGTTCAATTTAGCATTGTTGTTTAACTTACCATGATGGAATTGTTTTACCTTGTTTAGTATACTATCAGACGAAAGTGGAAAGTCATACCCAATTAGGGACAAAGGAGTGGATATTCCTTCCTTAGTCGTTAAATGCACTATTCCTTGTGTCGATACCTGTTCTTGATTTGTGTACTGGCTCCATGGCAACGTGGAGGAAAGTTTTGCAGAGCATTTATCGTTGTCAAGCACTGTCATGTAGCACCCTATTGGTAATTCGTCTTCAAGGGTAGGATTTTCAGCGAAAATACTTTTTGTTTCCGGTTTAAGTTCTGGAGTCACAAAAAGAATGCTATCTGCTGGTTTTTGGTAGTCTTCTTCGTTTTCTCCTTGAATGTAATAGGAGATCGACTTGAAACCAGGCCGTTGGGCTTTCAAAGTAAAATATGCATTGGTACTTGATCCTGTTATTGGCAATTCGTTAGGTTCTGCGACTACATCGTCGTCTGATACTATCGATACTTTGATCTCTTTTGAGGGTTTAGCTTGGAGAGATAAGTATGGAGATGGGAGATTTGCTTTTAGTTTCGGAAACAATGGAATGTCAATGACTCCATGCTCACATAGTCTCCCTTCATACCCAGTATTGGAGCAGTCACATTGAAAATCCTTTGATGACAGTGAAGTACAAATACCTCCATGACGACAGGGATTGGGCTTGCAGTTTCGTACATCTAAAAATGTAAATCGACAGTCTTGAAACTCTTGAATTAGAACCAAGGTATTCGCGTTTTCAACTTTAATATCGTGTAGTCAATGAGAATGTTTAATTGGGCGAGTTAAATACTTACAAAAACACTCGAAATCAGTTTTCCAGACAACATTTTGCTGGTCTGCCGTAAGATCACAAGTTGCTTTACTGCTTCCAGATGAATAGTATCCAGATATACATCGCATATCGCAGGAAGAACGAAAGTGTCTATRGCAGGGAAGAGATACAATTGCGTTGGGTCGAGGAGATAAAATGCCACATAACTTCGCTATAAAATGACCAAAAAACATTGTTATTATAAAAATCATGTTGTACTTTGTTATGAAGTAAGACAACTTACGTCGGCATGTGGGTTGAGGAACACTCCATCTTTGGTTAGGCATACAGGTTACTCTCTGTGGACCCTCTCTGTTGTAGCCATGATAACATGAAACCCAACAGAAATGGCTAGTTGTTGTGCCGGAGCAGTTTAATGAAGCATACAAGGGTTTTTTAATAATTTCGCAAGGAAGAGCTAAAATAAAAAGGTATATGATATTACTTGATTAAATTGTCAGCACCTTTGATTCCACATCCGCATGCGCAGTAATTTCATAAATTTCTAGAATAGCAGAAAATTAGTGGAAAGATATATGCACCCAAAGGCATGAAATTAGTAATCTAATTTACTTTCTAAGGAGGTGTCACTGCATACGTTACTGCGCATGAAGTGCGTATACGAATACTTACCTCTACATGATCTCTCATCTGAATTAAGTTYATATCCGGCCTTACAGCTACAATTGTAACTTCCAAGTGTGTTGATGCATTCCTGGCCACACCCGTGTGACCACGTTTTGCATTCGTCGACATCTAAGAAAATCATATTTAAATATTCTATCAGCATTAAGCGAAAACTAATAAATAAATAGTTGAACTATTTATCTTCTAAAAAAGGTTTTTATAAACTTTTAAAAACATAGGATGACAATTCGTTACACAAACCTCCGCAACTTCTCCTGTCTTCCAGGATCTTAAACCCGCGTCTACATCCACAAGTATAACTTCCATCTGTATTTGTACACAACTGTTGGCAGGTAGATAATGGAACATATCTACCTTTATAGCGCCTACATTCGTTTATGTCTGCAGGAATATAGTTTTAATAATGAATAATTCAAACTTTTTCAAGGTTCTAAAGTCTTAAAGTGTACTTCATACGCATTCGTATTCCCACGCGAATCCTCATAAAATATATTAAATATTGTACTTAGTGACATTTCTTCTGTTTCGATTGTTATGAGCTGAAATCCCGCCTCCCTACTAATCTCGAGGTGCTCTTTTCATTTCTAATGTTCATTTTGACACAGCTGCTGGTTTTAAGATAGGTAGGGTCACGTGACCTGTTATAGTGCAAGTCGTCTGTCTATTCCGAGCTGCAAAGGGGAATACGATAAAAGGTACCTGAACAAGTCCTTTTGTCGGAATTCAGTTCGTATCCAGGACCACAGTAACATGTAAAGCTTCCCCTGGTATTCCTACATCCGTATTGGCATCTATGTATACCTTCGCGGCACTCGTTTATTTCTTTAAGGGAAAAAAAGATATATCAGAAGCAAAATGTAAGTTGACATTGCGATACGTCGTGAAAACACAAAGAAAGAGTTACTCACCACTGCATGACCTGTCGTCACTATCCAAACGGTAGCCCCTCCTACACGTACATCGTCTTGAACCAGGGGTATTTGTACAATTATGTTCACATTCGCCATTATTTGTCTTGCATTCGTTTACATCTGAATTTTAATTTAATTTCAATTTATTTAAGAAATATAATTTTAGATAAGTATGTAAAAAAAGAATATGTTCTAAATTTGCTGGAGAACAATGGCATACAGATGACCATGATGATAAGCAATAGATCCATTCCTTTTAGCTTGGGTGTAATGTTTTTCGATTTCAGATCGCGTTTCATTCTCTTAATAACATGATTGTTTGTTTAAGTTGTATCCATATTCATCTCTTCTCAAGCACAACCATTTAGGGAGTCTAACCTATTTACCAGACACGGTTGCTGTATGGAAAAGATTAAAATCTAAGAGGTTTTTCTTAAGTTTTACGTTCATACATTTGTGACATTTGATCAGTTTTTGACCTAAGCATTAAAATAATCAAAATTATAGCTGAGATGAATTACAAAGTTAAGCATGGGTTTTACTTTACGTTAAGCGATTGGAAAAATATTCAATTCTAAGTTTTTGAATATGATTTCAGCCTGGCGGCCTCTTTCACCGTTTCAAAAATAATGCTTGGCGTAATTTTAACTTGTTTTCAAATAAGTTAAAACTTTGTTCCAATTCATCTCGGCTATAATTTACCTTATTTTTGTGTTAAACGCACGCTTGTTATTTATTTTTTAATGAAATAAGGCGTCATAAATTACGTCTGAGTGATGACGTCATCACATATCTCAGAAAACGATCCTTTTCACAAATTGGTTTTTATATGAGCGTAAATAACAATAAAAACCTCTTACAGATCTTAATTATTTCCATAGCAACCGTGGCTGGTAAATCATGCAAGACCCCCCCCCCCTCCCCCTTAGACAAAAAAATAACATTTTAGGGAATGACAGGTAGTCTGAAATAGGAAAAAAGAAACAAAAAAAAAAAAACGTCTAAGCTCAACAACAGTTTCACCTGTGAGGCTTACCTTCACAGAACGATTGATTTGTTTTGAGTTTGTATCCATGGGGACAAACACAATAGTAACTTCCTAACGTGTTGACGCATTGTTGTGTTTTCCCACACTTATTATTGTAACCAGAACATTCATTTACGTCTTCAATAGAAAGAAAAAACATGAAACATTTTAGTTATACTGTAATGACATCTTTGACTTAACAGATCAAAAACAGTTTTCCGTGTTTGATACTCTGATCAAAACACGCGGGATGTTGGGAGAACACGAGAGGAGCGTAGGAAACCACGACACATAGCGGAGTGGTTTCCAGCTTCTCGAGTGTTCTCTCAACATCCCAAGTGTCTTGATCAGAGTATCAAACACAGAAAACTGTTTTTGATTTGTTTTATAAAATARCAAACGCGCGAAAAGATCGAAAAAAAGCAAAGTCTAAGTAAATTCTCCCTACGTGCCGTCTTATTCAAACTGACCAATGAGCGCGCGCGATAGATTAAAAATGACGATAGCGTGTTTTGATACTCTCATCAAACATGGTTTTCGACCAATCATAGCGCGCGCAGTATCCCAATTATTTTATAATAGGTTTTTAAATTAAAGGGAACCATTTATGACCAAAATGCATTATGGGTCACCGTGCTCTTCTGGCTACCAATCGGGTTATATCAATGAAACAAATAAATAAAATGCGATAAATATTGTAGAAAATATAATCCTAAGCTTTGTATTTTGTGTGACTGATTTTCTTGTAGATTAGAACATGAATTTTATTTATTACTACCGAACTAAAATAAGAATATACACCTTGTTTTCACATCGGGCAGAATGGGGCGTCACATCCGGGACATTTATGAGCTCAAAAGCGCCAAATTCAAATGTTCAGCTCGATTGCTCGCGCTCATTTACAAAGAAAATAGGCCAAAATGGCCGTAGTTGTCATCAAAAACGCTTATTTCTGGCATGAAGAAGCACTTAACTTAAAAAGTTTTCATACGGCTTTTGTAGWRCTAGAGTTCCACTTGCAAGATCCGAAAAAAATAACTTGAAAAATCGCATATCTTTGCCATTAAATGCTATTTAAAGTTTGCCTATATGAACGAACTGAAGTATGAAGATTTTTTAAAGAGCTGATGATTTAGCTCATATTTCTACAATCACTTAAGAAGTCAAAAAGTTTTCATATGGGAAATGTTTCCAGACATTGAAGGATTACCTCTGCGAAATTTCATTGACTTTACATAAATATTTTTGCCATTAAATGGAATTTTTCGAAAACAGATAGCGAAATGCATTCTGATCAGAGTGGTTTAAATCTACCGCGGCCTCCAAAAGAAACACAAGCTCCGCCTACTGGAACCACCAAGCGCATCATAATAACAAGGGACACAAAGGCTTTTAATGGCGTGTGCAAAGAGTAAAAATCACAACAAGTTATCATTCCTTGAAAACTTTAACTTTAACCCAAATAAAGTCGCTT